GGTGCATCTTCCCTTATCCGCTGGTAAAACAGTGATGTTGTGGTCTTTGCTCAGGGAAGCGACGGCCTTCTTTTCCTGTATTGTGAGGTTGGACGTTCATTTAACACTGATACAGGCCTGTGATTTTGGCAGTATTCTCTTTGTTTTTGTGGTTTGGCAGCACCGTGATAATCGCCTCCCTCCAAGAGGAGAGAATCACATGTTTAGTGTGAGTCCAGTTAAGAGTCTGGTGGAGGAAGGGTATCAATTCTTTTCCGGGAAAAGGAAACCCATCACTGCCTGGTGCCTTGTTTGTTCGTAATTTTCCAGTCGCTTTCTGAATCTCCTCTGTCGTTATTGGTGCTGTCATGTGATCATTTTGTATTGTTCCAATAGAGGGTAGATCTAAAAATGTTTTAATATCATTTAGGCCATTATTAGTAGGTGCATTTTGTAGATACAGGTCCTTATAATAATCGGTAAAGATATTTTCTCTTCTAGGTTATGTGTCATTTGTTCTGTCTTAGAATTATACAATTTATTGACTGTTGTTCCTGCTGTTGTTTTTGTAGACGTCTTGCCGACAGCCGTGCAGCTTTAGGGCCTGATTCATAGCAGCTCTGTTTTACATACCTTGCTTTTACTTCCATTTCATATAAGAGTAAATTATTAATTTTCTTCTTAATATCTTTCATTTGTTGTTGTATCCTGACATCTACCTTGCGTTTGTGTTTATTCTCCAGTTGTGACATTTCAGCTACATACTCGTTATATTGCTTCATTCTTTCTCTTTTAAGGTTACTTCATATTGCGATTAGTTTACCACATATAACTGCCTTCAAACAGTCCCATAGAATAACTGGATCGGTTTCACCGTTTTTTCTTCTACATATGTTTTGACATCTTTTTGTATTTGTTCCACAGATTTATTGTTTAATAGCCCCACATTCAGTCTCCATATTGTGTTTTTTGGTCTACCTTTAAGGTAGATTTTTAAGTAGATAGCACTATGATCACACATCTGCCACTCCAGTCCAACAATCTGTTATTACATCTCTATTCCCTTTTCGCATAAAGAAGTCTGTTCTTGAATATACATGATGTGTTGCTGAATAATGACTATAAATAATTCCTCTGTAGGATGCAAACCTCTCCAGACATCAAAATAGTTCATGTCTTGCGATGTATATCTTACTAATTTTTATTTTTCTTCAGGCTGGTTGTGTCCACGTCACTCTCTAACATCACATTGAAATCTCCTCCACATGTGCACACACCTTCTGCTTCCAGCACAAGAATATCAAAAATTAAT